TTCCCCCCCCCCCCCCTCAATCGTATATCTAATTGATTGCCCCGTAACTTAAAAGCAGCCTTTGCTTTTTTTTTTCTCCGTTTTTCCCTCCTCTCGTCAGCTACATTCGTCCAATTTATGCTTTCCAGTATGATTTACACTGTTTACACTGAGTGCACTTGTGCATAACTTTTTTTTTTTATTTGCTTTGAAATAATTGTAGAGTAGGAGACAGTGGATCAGTCTGAGTATCATGTGTAAGAAGATATTTCAGGATACTGCCTGTGTTTCATCTCTAAGTTCTGCGAAAATCCCGTTTTCCCTAAAGTTCGTCCACGATTTTTATTGCATTGGCATGCAACACCGGGCAAAGTTTTGTTCCCCCTCGTTGAACATTATGGCACGGTTTTTCTTGTCTTGCATTTTTCATCATTTTTGCCAAATGAATGCTTTTGCATAGTGCTTTTTTCCTCTGTTCATTTCCTGCAACGTATCGTCGTCCTCAGCAGCGCTCCTGGTTTTTCCAGATGTGAAAATTCACAAATGCGGTTGAAATGCTTGTTTTTTACTCCAATCTGATTATACTAAACGGTTCGATAGACAGTGCTCTGTGGCGGAACGAATTCCGGTGAGTTTTCCCAGAAGGGCTACCTACCATCAATCCGTATGCTATGAACTTCAGCTTGAAACTCAGATTCCGCAATTCATGAAAGTGGATTCTCATGTAGGAATCGCAGTTCACGCAGAAAAACTCAGATTTTCATGAACTGCGATTTCTGCATAAGAATCCACTTTCGTGAACTGCGGAATCTGAGTTCCAGGTTTTCTGCGTGAACTCGGGCGTGTTTCATCCAGTGGCCAACTATGCAGCTGCAACAGCATCTAGATCAGAAGAGATATAAATGTGCCGGGCCGTTGATGGACACCATTATCTATCCAAATTTGCATATTTCCGTCCCGCAAATCTCCTCTATCGTCTCCTTTTTACCAGGGCAAAGCTTTGTTTGAAAACTTTCCACCTTTATACCGGGAAATATCCACTATTGTACCAGCTCTTGCGTTTTTGTAGAGAGAGGTGTCGTACCGTTCCAGTAGGTTCATGTCTTTTGTTGCGCTCTCCTCCCCCTACGCTCTCCTCCCCCTAACTTCCGGGACTCCGTACCAGGCTTCCTGGGGGGATGCTTCGTATCACCAGGCCTCTACAGGCCGTCTTTCTGCCTTGGCTCCTCCTAATTAGCATATCGTCCCTGTTGTGCGACGCGCAACTGCCTGTCAGCGATGACAAGTTTATTAAATACAACAAACAAACGACACAACAAACAGTAATTAAAAAACTCAGTAACAACAAATAGATGATACTATTAAAAATACTAATTTTTACTAAAATACTAACTAAAATTAGAAAAGAATACTAAGGTTAAAGAAAAATAAAATATTGAAAATACTAATTGAAAAATACTATACATCTTATTATACTACACAATTATGCTATTATACCATACAAAATACAACATACTATATTATACTATACAAAAATACTATACAATACTAATTAAAAAATACAAAAAATACACAGAAAATATCATACATCTACTACAATAAAACTATGAACAATTTTACAAACAAAAACTCTGCTATTAAAGAACATTACTACAGA